TCTGACTGCCGGCCACACTAGGAGTCATACCGTTGCTTGCAAGATTGCAGCGATGATCAGGCTCCTATCCTTAGTCAATTCTCACCAGCCTCTTGTAGTTCAGAGGAAGCGTCGAGTTCATTGAGCGGATGCTTTGAGTACGTCTCCTTATTCAAGTCGTGGAGCCCGACTTTGACTGCTCATAGACGGCAGGGATATATCCCTAACGAACGTCAATGCTAATTCCTCCAACATTCGAATTGGAACTCACCCTGCATGCCTAAACTTTCATATGTTCACTTTGGCTGGACGAAATTTGGAGAGATAGTGGCGGCCGTAGTCTCGGAATGACTGCGACAGAGGCTCAGCTAAACCTTACTCCTCGCAAAGCTTACGGACGTGTGTAAACCATGGGACTCACCTCAATTAGGACCAACGGGGACGACATCGAAATTATTGATCAACTCCTCTTACCCCATTCCGAAGTTTGGGTCAAAATCGAAAGCCCAGAGGATGCCTACGATGCGATCAAGAAAATGAAGATCAGAGGTGCACCCGCCATTGCGAGTCTTGCTGCACTTTCAGTGGCCTCCTATTTGTCCCGAGCGTCGAGGGCGAACCCTGTGCCCGACTACCTTGACTCTCTGAGCTCACTCCAAGAGCATCTGAGTGTTATCTTGAGTCATCTGTATTCATCCCGTCCCACGGCCGTCAACCTGGGCGCGGCCGTTAAGCGGCTGAACAACGTTCTGAAACTGGCAGTCGAAGAGAACTTGTCTGTCGATGATACAGTTCAGGGTCTGATCTCAGAAGCAAGAGCGGTGGCTGATGAGGATGTTGGGAGGAACAAGACAATGTCACGTCTGGGTGCCGACTGGATCCTTCGACAAGCAGAAGAGAAGGGTGTCAATCTGACCAATGGGATCAATGTGCTCACAGTGTGTAACACTGGAAGCCTGGCGACGTCGGTACGTCTCGGAGCAATCCGGAGCTCACATGAGAGGCGACCCGTCATCATCCACTAATCAGAGCTGCAAACCCAGGGATATGGAACGGCGTTGGGCATCATAACACGTTTACACGAAATGGGGAAATTAAAACGGGCTTAGTGAGAATCGTTCTCTGATTCGTCTTCTGGGGATCGATGACCGCTTACTCGAGATAGTTATACACAATCTACGCCATATCATCAAGGGTCAAGGTACGTGAATGTAACCGCCTCCTTCTCAGCTATCAATTTGATATGTTGCCAGGTTGACCGCTTTAGAGTTAAAGTCATTAAACATTGCGTCTACAATGGTGGCAGATTCGATGGTGGGATCGCTGCTTCAACACCATGAAATCCATGCCGTCGGTGAGCATCCCACTTAAACCCTGAGGGTTCTACGTTTGGGGCACCGTACCAACCAAACATCGGGAATAGTCGTAGGCGCTGATCGGGTCGCGAGGAATGGCGATACTGCGAACAAGGTAAGGTTCAATGCAATCGGCCCCATCCCCGCAAGAAAAACCCCAGTTAACCTCCAATAAGATTGGTACCTATAACGCGGCGGTTCTGGCACAACGCCATGGTGTCCCTTTTGTGGTTTGCTGCCCTGTCTCGACATTAGACCTGGAGGTTGCAGACGGATCGGCGTGAGTAAGATATGATGACCGGGAAACCCTGCATGACCCCATTTTTTCTTTCTTTCTCTTCTAGTATCCCAATTGAGCATAGACCCGCAATCGAAGCGTGCCTCGTGCGAGGAAGAGTGGTTGGAGCGACTGAAGGTGCGATCGCTAGCGCAGAGCCGGCTCAAGCCATCGTCCAGATTACCCCAGACCTTGACCTTGAAGGTGGGGGTGTCTATAACCCTTCATTCGATGTCACCCCCGCAGAACTCATCTCTGCAGTGGTGACAGAAAAAGGGGTGGCGCAGCGGCCGGCGAGCGCAGCGACCATCAACATCACGGAAGTTGCCTGAGCAGGAAGGGCTTCGTGGGAGTACTCGGGCGATGAGCACTTGACAGAAATACTCAATGTCATTCAGCGAAGTTACTTTAACCTTCTCCGACCTCATGCGCGTGAGCTCTCTCAGGACGTCCACCAATAAATCTGTTAGCTCTAAAGTTAAGGGACCAAAATGTGCTTCTCCACAATAGAAGTGAGGTGAGGAGGTTAACTGGGGTTTTTCTTGCGGGGATGG